TGTAACTAATAAAATAAAAGCAGTAAGTAAAAATTTTAAAAAAGTTTTTTAAAGACAAATGCTGGTTAGGATGCCAGGGGAAAAGGAACCTTTAAGTACTGCTAGTAGTAATGAAAATTAGTATGGTCACTATGGAAATGAATTTGATTTTTTCTTTTTTTTTGCGGAACTGGGTACTGAACTTAGGCCTTGCGCTTGCCAGGCAAGCACTTATTCTACTGAGCTATCTCCCTGGCCCCTGGAAATGAATTTGGAGGTTCCTCAGAAAACTAGAACTACCAGCTATACTGCTCCTTTTCATATACACCTGAAGGAATTAAAGCTAGTATACTATAGGGATATGCAAATAGCTGTTTTCATTGTGACATAATTCATAATAGCCAAGATATAAAACCTGCCTAAGAGCCCATTAACAGAAAAATTGATGAGGAAAATTGGTGTAGCTTGATGCAGTAGTACATTCCTATAATCCTAGCATTCAGCCAGGGGAGGTAGGAAGCCTCCAAGTTAGAGGCCACCCTGGGTACATAGTGAGATGCTGTCTCAAAACAAAAGAAGAAAAAAGATAAGAAAGAGAAAATCTGATATATATGCACAATGGAGTGTTCAGTCATAAAAATAATGAAATTACATTATTTATAGTTTAATGGATGGAACCTGGTGATCATCATGTTAAGTGAAATAAGAAACTCAGAAATAAAAGTACTGTATTACAAGACAAGCATATGGAATCTTAAAAAAAAAGATGGCATAATAAGTAGGAGACTATTACTACACAAGAGGAAGGGAATGAGGACTTCAGGGAGGGTACTGGAGATGGATATGATTGAAATATGTTATATGCATGAATGAAAATACCACACTGGCACTCAGTATTTTGTAAAAGTCCCTGTTCTTACAGTGGCAGCTACTTGAGGCCATGAGGTTTGTATCCCAGGATACATACAGTATAGTGCCAGGAATAGGAAGTGCTTGATGAGTGAATCAGATGAGTATTTTAAGTTATTGAGAGGAATAAAATAATGAAGGGCTGGGGAGATGGCTCAGTGGAATAAGTGCTTCCCTGGCAAGTGCAAAGGCCTGAGTTCAATCCCTGGTTCTGCCAAAAAAAAAAAAAAAAAATTAGGTCAAAGCTCATTTAAAAAATCACAACAGGTTTAAATGTGGTAGACTGATTTTGGCATTTTAAATAGTAATAGTAAATAATGTAACAGAGGAAGGTAGAATCAAAATAGTACCTTTTTTCCCTCTCATGTCTTTGGACAGATAGTAAAACTTGGTGGTAGAACACTTAGCATTCATGAATTCAAGAAATCCTGGGGTTTGATTCCCAGGACTATCTAAATAAATAAATAAATAAATAAATAACTGCATGTAAAAAGATTGGTTTTTCTTTTACTTAGTTCAGAATGTATTATAAATTAATACCAAAAGATTCTAAATAAAATTTACATGTTTTCATCCATCTTTATTTTGTTTTAGGGTATTCCAGACAGAGTCTCATATGAAAACAATAGAAAAGTCAGAAATTACAGGTAAATATGTTATGTTACTGTAGTCCCTGCTATTTTCTTCTTTCTTTCTTTCTTTCTTTCTTTCTTTCTTTCTTTCTTTCTTTTTTTGGTGGAACCAGGGATTGAACTCAGACTCTTGTGCTTGCCAAGGAAGCACTTATTCCACTGAGCCATCCCCCACCAACCCTCCCTGCTGTTTTCTTTAAAATTTTACTATAGCTCTCTAACCAGGTAATTGATATGACTTATTGTCTGGCTTTCTCCCTTTTGGACACCTTTGTACTGAGCTATATCCCCAGCCCTTTTAAAAAGTTTTATTCTAAGGCAGATCTTAAGTCATCAAGTGGCCCAAGCTAAGATCCAACCCCCCAAAGTGCTGGGATTACAGGTGTGTGCTACTGTATTCAGCCTTATTGTCTCTTTTTTTTTTTTTTTTTAATTACTTATTTATTACATTTATTTATTGTGTGTGTGTGTGGCCAGCTCAGCCCACCAGGGGGCGGGGCTGGCTGGCATGTGGTGCTGGGGGATCGAACCGCAGT